GCAGCTCCACGGGCACCGCGGCACTGCCGCCTCCGTCCCTCCCCCTGGGGGCTGGCCGGGGCTGGAGTGCAGCGGGGAAGCCACTGGAGGGCTCGCCTGCAGGGGGGGGGGGTCACTCAGGTGGTAGGTGGAGGCCCCGAGGAACACGGGGTAGGAAGCAGGAACTGGCCGGGGCTCTGGTGAGATTGGAAAGTGTGAGGCGAGGTGCGGCCGGGAGCAGGAACCACACACCACGTCTGAGGTGACAGGAAGGGACCCCGTGTCAGCCGTGTGTGTGTGTGTGTGTGTGTGTGTGTGTGTCCGTCCGTGTTTCCACCTCGCTGTCCTGCTGCAGACGGGGCAGGTGGCAGGACCTGGGCTCCTGTGGCCGGAGCAGGCAGAGGCCAGGGGACCTATGACCTGGGAGCCTGCGTCTACCCTGCAGGGGCCTCTGGTCCAGAGCTTGCCCCCTGACCTCACCCCCTGCCCACAGCCCTTCTTCCGGCTGCTGAACCTGCGCAAGCTGGGCCTGAGTGACAACGAGATCCAGCGTCTGCCCCCCGAGGTGGCCAACTTCATGCAGCTGGTGGAGCTGGACGTGTCGCGGAACGGTGTGGGCCTGGGCGGGTGGGGTGGCATCTGTGGGTGGCAGGAGGTCGGGGAGCTCCTGGAGGCCGTGGGCGTCTCCGGTGACCCCCCTCCTGTCACAGACATCCCCGAGATCCCCGAGAGCATCAAGTTCTGCAAGGCCCTGGAGATCGCGGACTTCAGCGGGAACCCTCTGTCCCGGTGAGTGGTGGCTGTGGCGGGACGCGGGGCCCCCGCCCTGGCCTGCACGTCTGAAGCCCCCGTCCTCCGCGTAGGCTCCCCGAGGGCTTCACCCAGCTGCGCAGCCTGGCCCACCTGGCTCTGAACGACGTGTCCTTGCAGGCGCTGCCTGGGGACGTGGGCAAGTGAGTGCTCTTCGCTGGGGTCTTGGCTCGGCCCTGCTGCCCCTCCCCCAGCCCCCCCTCACGCCCCACCGGCCTCTCTTTCAGCCTCGCCAACCTGGTGACCCTGGAGCTCCGGGAGAACCTGCTCAAGTCCCTGCCTGCGTGAGTGGCCAGGTGCCCGCGGGGGGCAGCTCGGGCTGGGCACCTGAAACCAAAGTTGCTCTGTCTCCCGTGCAGGTCACTGTCTTTCCTGGTCAAGCTGGAACAGCTGGATCTGGGAGGCAACGACCTGGAAGTGCTGGTGCGGAGGGCGGGGCCGCTGGGGCTGGGGCGGGGCGGCCGGGCTGTAGTGAGCCT